TCAACTTGCGTTGAATTATAGTGAAAGTATGCTTTCAGAAGTCAAATTAGGCGAACGAACGTTTTCGATTAATTCGTCATCAGACAATACAATAATATAAGGGAGGGTAGAGTTGACGAAATTTTAACCAGCCAATCAGTAATAATTAGGGGGATAAGGGGGGGGTGAGGTGTTAAGTGGTCAAAGGGGTTAGATACTAGTCTTAATTCGGGACCAGAGAGGGAAAAGGGTGGAGGAAGAGAAGGGGGCCGATAATTAGTTCGTGTCGTCCCATCGTCCTTGGCTCGCATTTTGTTGGGAGGTGTGAGGACGCAAGGTGTCATCGTCTCGTGAGGGCGTGAGTGGCCTGGGGATGCTTGCTGTTGGGGCATCGTCATTGTTTCGCGGCGTGGTAAGAAGCGTGAGGGTGGATGTTGAGTTAGCCTTCGGCCTAGGGAGCCTTAAGACCGCTAAAAATGCCTTCTGCTTACATAAGATTGGCTTAGTGAGACGTGTGGCGACTGCCTCTGCCGTCGCAAATATCCGCTGACGCATGAACTTTGAATGTTTCGCCGGTACCTTATAGATGACTCTAAACGCTTGGTTGACGTATACTTTGGCTGGATCTACCTCACTCCCTGTTCTAACTCCCCATCTATACTCGGTGTGAAGACAGAGTCAAAAAACCGGAGATGGAGGAGGGTCTAGATAGCTGGCGGGGCTTAAGCTGCCCCTGTGCGTACCACTAAGTCCCCCCCCATCTTCGGCATTACAGTAGCTGGACTAAACCATGAAATCCAAGTATTTTTACAAAAAATCCCTGTTAAGCGAACGCAGCCCAACTTGCGGCCCTCAAAGTCTTACAGCACTATAGCAGTGGCCGTCATTCAAAATAAGGTATATTACGGTTTAGCAGGTAATACTACTTTGTTTAGAAATACCGTCTTTCTGGAAAAATGGAAAATTCTGAAAAAATAAATAAATAGGGCATACCAGGTAAATGTAAGTTTTAAATTTAGAGAAAGCCTGTATACCCACCTGTTAATGGTCAACACGCAATTTCTAAACCTTATCTGACAGATTACTGAGGTGACTATCAACATACTACTCTCCTGATTTCAATAAGTCGTTTATTAACATTAAAGTTAACTCATGTGAAAATTTCCTTGTGCAAATGCAGTGAACGTGTTGTACGCTGTTAGTTCGCAGATACCTCACTCTTTTACAATTCATATTTTCTCATCAGTTTTGTGCATTTTGCATACTAATACGTCCTGTAACAGTTTTTTGCAAATTAAATACATTTAATGCGCATCTGTATCGCTTCAATAGAG